TCAGTGCGCCCGTGTTCACCCCTCCCCCCCCAGTCTTGTTGAAATTGTCTTGTCATCGGAGCCTGATGGGGAGAAAGACGAGAGTATGGCACGTGGCGTGGAGGTCTGACTCACTAGGATCTAATTCACGCGCATGTGACCGGTGCTGCGCCCACTCCGGTCATTGCCAAAAAGAAGGCATTTATAAGGTGAATTGCGTTTGATGGCCAAAATTCTGCCCTGAAAGTTTGCTTTTGCAGCGCCTAAACGGCGAGAGTGCATTCAGGGCGCTATAATCATCAAGTCGAATCCCAAGTTGTAGGGAGAAGATAGCATTTACCAGATTGATGGGTTTATTGTATACAGAACCCGGGGTGTCCCTTCAGGCGACAGTGGCTGCTGGAAAGTCCAGGAAAATGCCGCCAGACATAGCCATGTTTGCTGCCCGCAACGCCTTAAGTATTTAACCTGTCTTCAAAAATCACTTTTAGACGTGCACAACGTTCACACTGGCAAGCAATGCTTGGCTTCCAGGATTAGTATTTAAACAAAGCTATTTTGCATATTATGTACATACTGCAGATCGGAAAGGTCCACAAAGGAGACATGGATCCACAAAGGAGTGTTTAAGTATGAGGCATGCCCAAAGTCAGTGAAGTTTAATACGAAAATTGTATTAAGTTGTATTAGGTCAATTGCTTGCGAGGAAAATTCGTAATTCGTTATTTTTATCATCAATTTTTTAAGAATCAATACAGTTGCCAACGAGGAAACTTTACTGCGAGATTTGGGCCCGCAGCCCCACCTGAGTGATATTATATGGCAAGCCTTCTAGAATTGTTTAGCTGATGAGAGTACGCTGACTTCACAAATACCACGTATTCGTATCTTCCTTACCTTTTTAATCCAGTGAGTGGCTGTGCGACGGGGAGAACGCTTAGACGGCAGCCTCGGTTACTTCAGGTATCAATTTACATGTGTTTCCCTGTGTGTGATTCGAACCCTGCATGCACCCTCTTTGTTTTCTTAATCAAATGAGTGGTCAAGTAGACTTGCTAATGGGAATTTTCGGATGGTGTGGAAATCCGTCGGTCCCACTACATTGGCCACGAACTGCAGATTACCACGCGGTACCCTCCGTGATTTCTCTCCCCACGTATCCTCTTGATACAGCGAGTGGTTGTGTCGGGGGATGAGTATGTACACGCCACCTTCATCCGCTTCTCTGCGCCGCCTCCGAGTTCTTCTTGTGCTCTCTTTCCCTCCCTGGTCCAGCGAGTGGCTAAGTTAGGTACATTAACTAATATTGTTTTCTGAGCTAACCACATGGTACCGACTAAGTGGGGCTACAGAACAAAACCTCGCCAACTTTAACCCTATTTGTCAATAACAGAGGTCAGAAGGTAGCGAAATTACGAAGCGATTTTTCCGTCTCACTGCACCACTGAAAGAATCTACCATAACTTCAATGGAATCAACTTGGGGCGTGGAACGGCTTTTCTTTGAGCATGTAACTATAAAAGCTTTTTTCTCCACACACGAAAAGAGCTTCCCCATATTGCAAGCAAGATGCCGCACACTATAGACTTCATATCAGACTCCATTAGTCAAAATGTAAAATTTTATTGTTTTCTTAATTGCCTTCATGAAGGCGACTTAAAATAGCTCTAGATAAGAGCAAACTTAAAGTTGATTTTACCCATCGACACGGTTTATTGCCAGGCTGACTAAGAGTTTGCAAAAAAACTGAGTACACATGTGGCACTTGCTGTACCCCTCGCATTTTCGCCACTTAATGATAATGCTGCTTCTGCTGAACTTGCAAGATGCGGAGGTGCATGGTTATCAGATAGTAATTTAGACTAGTCAGACTGCATTGACGTAACGATGAAATTCAATGTTTGGCAGGACTTACTCAGCGTGAAACATAAAACATGTACTACCTAGAGGCTGACTTGAAATTAGTCAGGATAATGTTGGAATGCAGAATGTACGCTTAACATAATCCTTCGTGTCTATCAAAAAAATTCCGTAGGGCTTCAGCCAATGTAGAAAAATTGTACTAACTGTCATTTCTGACACACAGTGCTGTTCATCTTGATATGGTTCCGCAAATGTCAGCCATCTGCGAGACAGCATGCAGACAGAACTTTAAGACGGACGATTATTTTTTAGAGTGTGCTGTATTGTGCTGTAATTTCACCAGAACGGGTGTAAAATGAGACGAAACACAGGGTACTTCTGTCATTTAAAATGCTGGCTGCAAGATAAATATAGCGCATCACCGATTGTAATGCATTGACAGAAATTACAGAATATGACAAAAAGATCTTTAAACTACAGAGAAGTAAGCATCGGAATGTGTTCAGTTTGCTTTAAGAATTGCTCAAATAAAATTACCACATTATGGAATAACAGCATAACCGGAAATGCCCTGTCGCGGTTTTAATGGAAATTTGTAAAGTGCATGCTGTCTGTATTTAAGTAAATTGAATAGGTCGAGAATTTGTGCCTATCTTATTTTAGAAGAAATACCCTCTAGTTTTGCAAAGTCTGGAGGTTTGGGCCGCTCGCATTTTCCGCATCTCGTAGTACATTAACAAACATATGCTGACTAAATGTTGCTAGTTGTAACATATTTACAGGCTTTTATTTCTGTTCTGGACGTAAAACACTACTTTTAGATCGGTTATATATAGTAAAAACGTCTTTTGGCAACACATACAGGAAGTTAATGATGTGTTTAACAGTCACTTGTTACATATCCGCTGTTATAGCAAAACAAACCATTAAAATGTTGTGTTCTATGAAACTGTCTTGTCTATATCTTGGTTATCTTATACCTCTAATGGATGACTATGCTTGTAATGCATAGTATGTTAAACTTGAATCATTTCTAGTTGCTTTACATAGAGCTACTTTCTGTTCTATAAGTGGCTGGTGGTTATGGGAACTGGCTATTAAATTTGTCGGACGAAATAGGTCCTGTAGGATATTTATCTGAACCGAGAATGCAAAGGTCAGTTGCGTTTCCTATAAGTGTATGGGGGATTTTGATCGGTTAGTGGAATGTAACTATATTTTAAATATGAGCGTCTACATGCCTTCGCATAAAAACGAAATTGGAAGGACCGAACAGTCCCTTATCCTATAACTGCATGCATGACTCCATGTGCCCATTCTATCACCACTTTTGACACGGCTCTAATCAACACTCTCTGTCTTTCACTACCAAAATATAAAGCAGGACAACAGAACTAAGCATTCTTAAAGAAGGAGACACGATCGCTGCGGCAAGAGCTTTATTAGCCTGACGTTTCGTATTACTGCTCGAACCCATCATCAGAAACAAAAGAAGATACGGGTAATTCATGCACAAGGGACTGCAGTATTTATAGGATGCAGTCGTCATGCTACCGCATACGTATAAATATTCACGGTTGTCCTCCCCCCTCATGAGGGATCATTGTACTTAATGTGCTGGCCATTTGATAACCGACATTTTCGTCGTTAATTGACGCAATTTCATCACGTGCGTTGGATGTTGGTGTAATAATTGCTCGACCATCTGACCCACCGATCCTGGGGTTGGGAAAGGTGTTCACCTGTGCGCTCCCCGCGTGGCTATTTACTCCGCCTAGGCGTAGTCTCATCACCAAGTATGGAAGGGGACGTTCATTGCACTTGTTAATAAACTGGGGGTCAGTATATCATGACTCAAACAGCTCCCGGCTCACGCGGTTGTCATCTCTTGCGAGACTTTTGGCCTCGTCAAATTAGAATTTGTGGCCGGATCTCGTCGAATGAGCCGCAGCTTGAGAGCTGGCGTCATTTCTCCGCAACGCTGCAGTGTGTTCAGCCATTCTCGTTCGGAGCTGTTTTCCGGTTTCTCCGACCTAGATGCTTCGTCCGCAACTGCACTAGATCCGACAAACGACTCCAGACGTTTCTTGCCGTGTCAGCGTGTCTTTCGGTTTCGTTACCTGACCCCTGGTGGGTCCCTCCGGTCTGTGTGCAACTCCAACCCCAAGTGGTGTGAGAAGGCGGCCAACATCTTCCAAAACGTTCGTGACATACGGACGCGCTCGCCAATATTTGGCGTCGATGCGGTAAGGCCTTTCGTCCGTTTTGCGCGTGCACCGATTGACGAAGTTGCGCGGGTAGCCATTGTCTTTGAAGACCCGCTCTCAAGTTGCGGCTCATTCGACGAGATCCGGCCACACATTCTAATTTTACGAGGCCGAAATTCTCGCAAGGGATGACAACCGCGTGAGCCGGGAGCTGTTTGAGTCATGATTTACTGAGCCCCAGTTTATTAACAAGTGCACTGAACGTCCCCTTCCATACTTGGTGATGAGACTACGCCTAGGCGGAGTAAATAGCCACGCGGGGAGCGCACAGGTGAACACTTTTCCCAACCCCAGGATCGGTGGGTCAGATGGTCGAGCAATTATCACACCAACATCCATTGCACGTGATGAAATTGCGTCAATAGAAGCGAAAAGACGAGTCCCAGGAAGCAGTCTTGAAGAAGAAGACACGATCGCCGGGACAAGAGCTTTATTAGCCTGACGTTTCGGATTCCTGCTCGAATCCAGCATCAGAGACATAAGCAGATAAGGGTGGTTAATGCACATGCGGCTGCAGTATTAATAGGATGCAGTAGCCATGCCACCGCATACCTATGAATATTCACGGCACCCTCCCCTTCATCAGGGATCGTTGCACGTGGCGTGATGCCCGATATTCGCGTCGTTAATTGCTGCAATTTCATCACTTGCGTTGGATGTTGGTGTGATGATTGCTCGACCATCTGACCCGCTGACCCGAGTGTTGGGAAGAGTGTTCATCAGGGCGCTCCCCGCATGGCCAATTACTCCGCCTAGACGAAGTCTCAGCACGCTGTATTGAATGGGAAGACCATTGCACTTGTTTATAGACTGGGGGTCAGTGAACCATGACTTAAGCAGCTCCCGGCTCACGCGGTTGTCACCTCTTGCGAGAATTTCGGCCTCGTAAAATTAGAATGTGTGGCCGGAACCCGTCGAATGAGCCGCAACTTGAGAGCTGGCGTCATTTCTCCGCACTGCTGCAGCGTGTTCGGCCATTCGCGTTCGGAACTGTCTTCCGGTTTCTCCGAAGTAGTTGCTTTGTCCGCAACTGCACCAGATCCAATAAACGACTCCAGACGTTTCTTGCCGTGGCAGTGGGTCTTTTGGTTTCATCAATTGACGCCTGATGGTTGCCTCCGGCCTGTGTGCAACTCCAACACCAAGTGGTGGGAGAAGGCGGCCAACAGCTTCCGAAACGTTCTTGACATATGGAAGCGCTCGCCAAACTTTGGTGTCCCTGCGGTTAGTCCTTTCGTCCATTTTGCGTATGCACCGGTTGACAAAGTTGCGCGGGTAGCCATTGGCTTTGAATACCCGTCGGAGGTATTGTAGTTCAGCAATCTTGTCTTCCGGCTCACTGCAGTGCGTTTCTACACGCCGATAGAGCGTCCTTACACAACTGCGTTTGTGACTGATTGGGTGGTTGATGTTGAAGTTCAGTACTTGCATCGTATTTGTCGCTTTCCTGAACACTTTGGTCATTAGTCCACCACAATCCTTGCGGGATACGAGGACATCTAGGAAGGCCAGCTGGTTGTTCTCTTCCTCCTCCATCGTAAATTGTATGACCGGGAAGACCGCATTCAGACGTTCCTTGAATGTCAGCAGTTGATCCCGATCGATAACGACAAAGGGGTCGGGATCAACTGCTGACATTCAAGGAACGTCTGAATGCGTTCTTCCCGGACATACAATTTACGATGGAGGAGGAAGAGAACAACGAGCTGGCCTTCCTGGATGTTCTTGTATGCCGCAAATTTCATCCATTGATAAAGTGCTGAAATGTCTTGCAGGGCAGAAACAACTACCAGGAGAAATCGCGAAATCCCTGAGAAAAACTGAACCAACAATCGCTAAAATCTATGGACTACGGAAAGTCCGCAAACCTGACGTACCATTGCTACGTCATGCATCTGTTTGGCAGAAAAAAGAGTCAGTTCCTTCCTACCGACCCTATCCGCTGGCCTGTGATAGGCTTTTTTGCTCGAAACCCTCGGTTTCCCAACATTTAATAAACGTAAGTGGTATTATCCGCTCAAATGACTGTAATTAAATATGTGGTCAAATACCTAAGAAACAATTTCGACGACTTCTTCGCTTGGTTAGGCATCGAGTCTAGATAGAAAATAGGCATGAGGAAACAGTGACTAATACTTCTTGCAAATGCATAGTAACGCTGATTGATTTATCATAAAAAAAGGCTGGCGTAGAGATTTCGGTCTAGACCCCTTGCTGACGGTAGTTTTAAGATGACAACTAACGACGACAAGTATGTTCAGAACTAATTGCTCCGTTCAGCTCAAGCATTACCATTTAATTTTTTCTGGTTGCTAATTGTTCAGTACTTTAGGCATATTCGGTTTTGTAACCCCAGTAGACTGATGAACGTCATTTCAATGTGATAGCCCTATGGATATTCCAACTCTTTGTCAATGGGAAATATGTTCGTGATTCATTTTCGGATTGTGTTTCAAATGCCACACGATCTATGGTTTAAAGCCCCGATGCTCCTGAGTTACGGCTGGTTGCGCGCGGTGAATCTGATGTTGAACAACCACAAATGAAAGCTAAAAAATGATCCGAATCAGACTATTCTTCCTTGACAGCAACTGATTTGGTGTAGGTATGACTAATCTGCTAATTAATGTTGTCTGAGTCAAGCTAATTCCCATCGACACCTGCATATTAACCTCTTCTTTGACAGATTGGATAAGATTCCTCCAACTTGCGAAGGCGTTTTATCATTATGTCGAGATCGTCTGATGCTCGAAGTCGGAAGTTTCATCTCTGGTGTTTTCTGGTGTGTCGTCGAGATTCTTGGAAAGGACAACTGACTAACCTCCACTTATATGCTCTGAGCTACTGGCAACTAAATCATAGGGCATTTTACCCCGATTTTTCTCTACTGCCTGTTACAGCTCCACGCATTTTATCTGTCTACGGATCCTCAAGTTATCCCTGGTGGAACCCATTTAAATTTTTCCCTAAACACTAACTTCATCTCTTTTTGCTGAAGTTGACGTTTACTAAAGTTGGCTAGTGTTCATGTCGTAATATGTCTTTAATTAATGGACCAATTAATGTAACCTATGTGGATTGAAACATTTAACAATAGCCCATATATCTACAGATAACTACGTTTGTTCCATGAAACTGTATTCGGCTAGTTATTTATGAGGCCCTTCTTTCTTATTCACTTCCACCGCCTTTTCGAGTTCAATCGAACTCGATGAGTTGATGGTGCATAATTTCCCATGGCTATTTCTTCTCGAAAATAAGCGCCAACTAAACAGTCAAAAGATTAACAGTTTAACTTAAAAGGAGGTGGTAACCGCTAGATGGCAATTTGCTTGAGAACAACATTTGGTTGTAGAAGCAGAGACTGATAGACTACCCAGCCCACCTTCAGAGACTGAAAATCACCTAGCAAGTGGTCCGCCAAAATAGGCATTAGAAGGCATGAATATAGTAGTCATCCTAAATTTTCATTTTCCGATAGTAGGAATTGTCCATGCCCACATGTGACTCATAGCTAAAACAAGCATTTCAAAAAACACGTTTTAAAACATTATTGTTAGCTCAAGGAAATTGTAGGGGTTCTTGCCATTTGGACAGAATTTTTAGGACAGGAAGCACTAAGAGCTTTTGGTTGATCCTGTTTGCGGTGCATATGTCGTGGGCACGAAAGGCACGACTGCCAATCCCAGACAGGAGTTATGAAAGAATTAATAATTAAGTGTCTGGCGACCTGATAGCCCAACACATGCCACGCGCGTCGCGTTGAGCCGAGTTCCTTTCATTTAGATAAACAACCAGTAAGTTCAAGAATGGTGAACAGGTAGACAAATGCAAGACAGTCTGACGCCTCCGCACAGTACCCTCCTCCGAGGCCAGAAGACTGCGGAAACGACGATGTATACAAGTCCAAAAAATGAGAGACAAACCGATCAGAAAAGTGAACGTGTCGACCGCTGTGAGTGATATATACAGAGTCTGTAAACATTCGGATACGTCCTGCGACAGAAGTGGGGAAGTTACAAGTGGCAACTGGAGGTAGCGGACAAAAGGGAAGAGGGAAAATACGGGACAGCGGAATAGGAGCTGGAGGAGGTGGAGGAGCAGAAGTTGGGGACCACAGCGCTCGTCTGACGGAAAGTCCGGAACAGATGCTTTGCGGCGCTCCACACTCACAATCTCCTCACGACTGACGCGTCGAATGCGAACGTCTTCGTTTTTCAGGAGAGGATCTGGAATTTGCCGTCAAAGGGCCGTTCCAGAGGCCGGCGGACCTGATCACATCGATGGTAGACGTGAGAGCACGTTGCTGAGTCATTATCTAGGTAAGACGAAGAGGTGGAGGACCTGCACGGAGCCGAAGACAGTGTCCGCATAAACTGCCGGATGCGGTGCAGGTGATTGGTGGGATCCTCGACCGCGCCACGAGGATTTGGCAAGACCGTCTCACAAGGAAGTTGAACTGAGGCTCCGAAAACCAGTTCGGCTGCGGAACAGTCAAGGTCTGGCTTGAGAGCTGGGCGGATGCCCAGGAGGACCAGATGCAGATGGTATATTCAATTCTCTGGGTCATTCGCTGCGCGTGTGGAGGTTTTCAACCGGCGGTGAAACCGCTTGACCATCCTGTTGGCAGTCGGACGATAGATTGTCTTCCGGATGAGGGTACGGCCTAAAAAGGAGAGTAGAGATTAAAAAGGTTAGATTTAAACTGGGCACTTCGGTCAGTCGTGATCTTGGAGGGTGCACCAAAGATGGCAACCCAACGACTGAGGAGAGCCTTCACCACAGTTGGAGTAGCAATGTCAGGCAGGGGGATAGTTTCCAGCCCCCTGGTGAACCAATCCACACAGGTGAAAAAATATGAACAACCATTGGACAGAGGCGGGGGGCCTACAATGTCCAGGCGAATGTGGATGAACCTTGCACCAGGGCCGAGGAAGGTGGCGATGGGGACCTTGTTGTGCCGCTTGACCTTACTCTGTTGACAGTCAATACAAGCCCGTGTCCATGCTTTGAGGTCGTTGTGCATCCCATGTCAGACGAAGAGTTCGGAAACCAGGTTGTCGGTAGTTCGTCTCCTAGGACGAGATGGATTGTGCAAGGAGGAGAAGAAATTTGCGTCGAAGGGATGGTGACACAAATGGACGATGGGATGGGGTGGATCCGTCGTATACAATGGTACCGTTACCAGTTGTCAGTAGTAGCTCCGGAATTTGGAGTTCGGAAACATTCTCCTCACAGGGTGAGTCAACACGGTGTTGTTCAGCGGCCATCTCAGAGAGGTTAATCCCGGAAGAAAGCTGGACGTGAGAGATAGAGGGTCTGGACAGTGCGTCAGCCACCTCATTCCGTGACCCGTCAATATGGCGGATGTTTGAAGTGAACTGCGAGATGTAGTCCAGGTGACAGATCTCCCAGAGGTTCGGTTTCTCAGAGTGGGAATGTCGAGCAAAGGCGAGTGGCTTATGGTCTGTGGAAATTGCGAACTCTTGACCTTCCAGTAAATGCTGGAAGTGCCTCAAGGGAAGAACAACAGCAAGAAGTTCATGTCCGAATGTGCGGTATCGGGTTTCGGCCCTAAATAAATTCCTGGAGAAGAAAGCCAAACGCACGTTAGAATCTGGCAGACGTCGGTGGAGAACAGTACCAACAGCAGCATTGTAAACATCGACCATCAGAGATATGGATATATCAGCATGATAGTAAGTCATGGGGTGGCATTAGCCAGAAAGGCTTTAGCCTGCTCAAATGACGTGAGTGCTGTTGGTGTATGTTCAAAGGCGCGTTTAGAACCTGTGAGGAGACTAATCAGTGGGAGGATGGTGTCGGCCCAGTTCGTAAAAAGCCGACAATAAAAGTTCAGCACACCGAGAAACCGTTGCGGCTGACGCTTCGAGGTAGAGGGTAGAAAGTCTCGAATGGCAGAGACCATTGAGGGAAGGGGCCGAATGCCATTGGCGTCGATCTGATGACCTAAGAACCTAAGAGAATTGGCACCTAGGACACACTCTGCGGGATGCAGGATGATACCAAACTACTAAAATCGGTCAAAAAGCAGGGTACGGTGTTGAAGATGCTCATAAACATCCCAAATGACGACTAAGAATCGTTAACATAAGCATAAACAAACGGAAGGCCAAGTAGAACACGGCTAATGAAACGTTGGAAAGTCCACGAGGGATTTTGGAGGCCAGATGGCATACGAAGAAATCCAAACAAGCCAAAAGTGGTCGTCACTGTCGTCTTGAGGATGTCCTCAGCCGCAATCGAAATTCGATAAAGGGCTCGGATCAAATCGGTCTTCTAGAAAACGGTTTTGCCAAAGAGAGCTCCGACAACTTCGGAGGAATCGGATACAAATCGGACATAGTGATATTTTTCAGAGCTCTATAATCGCCACAAGGACGCCAATCATCCGTCTGTGGTTAAGGTCCATGTGCAAAGGAGATGCCCAGAGACTGTCAGACTGTCAAGTTATCCCTAGTTACGCATGTGGTCAAATTCAGCCTTAGCAACCACAAGATGGGTGGAATCAAAACGACAGGGACAAGAGAAAACACGGCGATCGGTCGTTTTTATATGATGAACAATAACATGGGTCGATGAGAAGTCAAAAAGTGAAGCTTACTTAAAATATACTATTCTGATAAAAGTTTACGGAACTGACAGTCAGGGTTTGGGTCAAAGACAAATAGACGGTTGGAAGCTTGGGATTGACGAAGACCGTTGACAGGGAGAGCAGTGGCGCGATCGTAAAGGCGAGGTTGCCTGAAATCAACCAGAAGGCCGAAAGTGGCTAGAAAGTCAGTAACAAGGATAGCAGTAAGAATATCAGCCACCACATACATCTAAGTTCAACGTCGCTTGAGACCAACGTCAATGGAGATGGATCGGGCTCCAATAATTGCGATTGAGAAAGAGTTGACGGCCTGGAGAAGGCTATGGTTGGGGCAACGTCGACTGTCCTGCATAGGAGGGATAAAACTAATTTGAGCGTCAGTGTCGACTAAGAAACGTCTGCCATTCGTGTTACTACATATGTAAAATATGCGACCGGTAAAGCTGCCAGAGGGCTCGGCCGCTTTTACCCTCCGGTCGAGAAGTTTCCCTTCAAGGACTTGAGGCAGCGACGTGCCTGATTGCCAAAGTTTACATGATACAAACATAGGTTTACAGTCCTAGGGCGAGGGTGGAAACGACGACGGTTGCGGCTAGGAAACGCAGAGATGGCCCGGCAGATCGGCGCGGTTGCAAAGCGTCAACAGTGGCCGACAAATGGGCAATCTGTGTCTTGAGCTCGGCAATATCAGAGGTGGACGTAGTGAGAGGCCGTGAAACCTGCGCAACCGTCGTGGATGACAAAACCCTCAACCCTAATCATACGATCTGCCATTTTCGTCAATTTTGACATGGGTTAATCATCTGAGTCGGAGGCCAAGCTTGTTTCCATTGATATCGGCAGACGTTCTGAGAGCATCTCTTTAAAGAACTTACCGTCAGTGCCCATGTTCGAAACAGGAAGATGCATACGATGCAGGAAATCCGACGGCTTGCGATCACCTAAAGCCTCTTCTTTTACGAGTGCGTGATAATGTTGGCGATTTGAGACTGAGGTTAGGCGAAGAAGTTCAACTTTTAGCTTCGTATAGAGAGCATCAGTTCGGGGATCATGCAAAAATGTCTGCACTTGGAAAGAATGGTAGGTGGAAGAGTCTTTACCAAGTTGTAATACTTGTCGGTTTCTCGTGCTACCTTTGCAGAGTGAATCATTGCCTCAATACGGAAGAAATAAAGTTCTGGCGCATATTGCTCGAAGCCTGGGAGAGACAAAACAACCCCACTGTGAGAAATAGAATCCTCAGAGGTCATTGTGGTAGACAGGATCAAGTAGAACGGACTATATACAAGTAGCAAATCTAAGTCTACAGATTAAATGCGTAAGCATGAACACCGAAGGAGTCGCCACTGTTGTAAGAGCAAAGGACACGTTTGCCAATCCCAGACTATAGATATCAGGACAAGACAGGAGTTATGAAAGAATTAATAATTAGATGTCTAACGACCCGATGGTCCAACACATGCCACGCGTGTCGCATTGAGCCTGGTTCCATCCATTCAAATAAACAAACAGTGAGTTCAAGCATGGTGAACATGTAGGTAAATGCAAGATAGTCTGGCCCCTCGACACTCATACGCACACACTCAACACCTACTTTGCATAATTTCGTAAATACGAAGTGCGTAACGGCGTAAAGTGCAAAACGTACAAGTTATTCGTTACGGGGTGCGCAAGGGAAACTTATGAGGATGATTCCCCCAAACAGTAACCTATCAGTGCCTATGCAACTACCGATGAACGGTCCTAGATCTCCAATTTAAGACGCCTTTTTTTTCTCGGCAAATTAAATTAGCATCTCGCCGTCGGTTATGGTTGTATAATTAATGACTTCTTAGAACGAATGAATTGCAAGAAGAAAAAAACTGTTATCAGGGCTATCTGGGTTTTAGATGAAGTTGGCAAAAGATTTGATTAACTTTAATGCATTTTTAAATGAGCGTTTTACAGCTGTCAGTATGAGTCCTCGGTATACGCTAGGGATAGGAATGGTCGTTGTTTGCAATATTCGAACGTTTTCCACTACTAAGTACTAATTTGCCCAGTCGCGCTTATGAATCAGCAGAGTGAATCTGGCTAAATTTAAACAAACGCCCATCGTTTAAGTCCAGACCGTCAGAAATGGACCAATTTTCCCTCCACGAGCGCATAAAACTCAGCTTCAATCTTTGTTCCTCTTATGGTTTCCTCATCCAAAGGAAATCACAATTTTTCGATGGCGCTTCCGGACATCCGACGTTTTTGATACGAGGTGTGTCTAATAATGAAAGGCCCAATTCTGATTGAATAGCGTTTTTCTATACGAAAAAAACTCGAGCTGAAATGTTCGTAAGGACCCTTGAAAGGCTAGGCAAACGTGATTGGCAGAGGTGAAGGGAACGGGTGGTCGTAAAGGTTTGCTTCCGGTAAAAAGTATCGAAATCTCTTGAACTGTGTATGTCAACTGTTTGTCTGACCACGCTGCAGAAATGTGTGGTCGTACGCTTTTCTCTAGTTCTAATTCGAGCTAGAAACATGATTTTTTATGCCCAAAAGTATTTTACAGGCATTCCACTTTAAAAACAAATGAAATTTTTGATTTTAAATCTGACGTTTTAGGTTGGGGAAAATTAATCAGGCCCATATTATGGAGGCCTGAGACGTAAGATAGGCCCAAGTTTGCAGCAACATTGACTGGCCGCCTGGGTTACTTTGCATATGAGCCTTTAAATATATCCGGGTCTCTCTACGGGGAAAATGATTTTATCAACATTTTGATGTGCTCAAGATGCTCTCCGTTTATCAGCTGACGAACCACCATAAGACGTGTTGATGTCTATAAATTCTGTCCTTAGTTGAACTCATTCTCTCCATGAGTTAATATTTGGATACGAGCTTCATGTCTTTTTGATCTCGTTTTTAAATTAGGTGCTTAGATGGTGCATTTTAACAACCGAACCTGCCCACTAAATCAAACTACAGTTAAGCAATTATTAATACCCTGTCTCTCGAGTGGAATATACAATTTTGTCTATATCCTCGATTGTTGAAATCACTCCGTGTAGTCGAATTACCCAGTCACGTGGGCTCATTTAAATTCCTTCATTTTGAAGAACTTGCGCAAAATTTATTTAGTTTTAGACGATATCGTGCTTCGGTTTCATAGGCCAACTCTTTGACTGAATCAAATGTAAAACAGATTTTTCATTGGGGCGTAAAAATATTCCTTTTCTCAAAGAAATGTGGAAACACCCCATGACCTCCTATTTAACTGCTAACAGTCCGTGTGTTTTATTAGACCATACATGGCGCAGGCGATAATTGCCGAGAACTTTGAGAGTTCGCAAACGTTGAACCTTTATGATATTAGGAAGAATTCAGGAGTTGTTAAGATGCGTAGCCTCGGATGTCTAAAAACGAAGATGCCAGACGTATACTTATTATGTAAGTTACAATATCCATTTTATCCATCGCTTTAGAAATAGACAGAATGATACATTACTAATACGCTCTTAACGACATGTATTCGCAGGTTTTAAACGGATATTGCGCAATTTCGAGACAAACGCCAAATGAATTTGCAACGCCTGATGAAGCTCTTATCTTGAGAGTAGTAAAAACCGAAAGTCAACTCAATAGCCCGTCACACACTAGCATTTCCTCCTCCACTCTCTCTTCAATATTGCTCTGACACGCTCTATGTATTACCATGTCGGATACGTTATTACTGTTAATGTATACCGTGAAATTTCCTTTGTATCATTCAAATCCTAATGCACGGTAGTATCGTTATCCTAGTTGTATAGTAAAGTTCACATCGAATCGCCAAATAATTCTTTTACACCGTAGAGTTATGTTTGATCTTAACTACTAGTCAAGAATCACCAAATACTCTAAACCAACTGAGTATTGGTAAATGTGAAGCGCTAAAGCCGAAATGCTTATGTATGTGGTCAGAGCCCCAACGGGAACGTACGCCTACTGTTGACTCCATCACAGATTTTAACTAATTTCCCGGACATTTGCAAATTGACAGACTACCACTGATCCCTCAGAAAAGAGGCAGTACTTTAAAATGCTTCATTTGACAAAACGTTGCGGTCATATGATTTTAAA